GTCATAAAAGCAGTTCATCGCCACCAATATGGTTTCATTGCGACCACATTGTTTTTTGTCGTGATCGCGGTGGTTATATTGTGACCGTGATAATTCCAGTATCTAGAGCACTTTTTAGCTTTCTTTTGCAAAAAGTCTTATCTAAATTCAAGCTACGAAACTCTAGATATGATCAAATTATTAGACAGATATCATGATGTATATTGTGTTGAAAAATGTTTGTTTCTACCCAATTTCTCCACAATTTCTTGGTTTTACTTTGTTTCTTCAACTTCTTCACTTCTTCCTATTTCTTCATAAAATTTAAACACAATTAAACAAAAATCATTAAAAAAAAACATATACAAATACTTATAAAAATTACATGATGACAGAGTGTCATCATTAAGCCATGTTCAATGTCATGTTAGAGAAAAGATTCTTCTCTTAAGAATTCATAAGTCATACAATGGGGTGGCCGACTAACTTTTAGCACAAAACATGATTATGTATACCATAAATCACATTAAATGTACATGTATTATTCACCTTAAATGTACACTCGCAATTCCTCGTTTTATTGTCATCGTATTTCAACTTCAAAATAGATGATTTATACTTGTCACTTATTTCACATCTCATCATCATAAATTCTTTTCTTCTATCAGAACTAGAATCCGACCTCTCGATCACACTGTTGAATACTAATTTTGCAGCCTTTCATACGATTATTTTGAAGCATATCTTCACGTATAGAAAGCTCTTATTTATTTGTAAATTATTTTCCAACATCTATATTTTCCAACAACTATGTAGTTCTTGGTAGAAAAGTCTTGTGTGTTAGTTGATTTTAAAGACAAAGAGTCTTTATTGCGTAAAAGCAGAAAAACTTCGTATGTTGGCTAGTTATGTTTGTGTTTAGGAGGAAGACAAGTGTTAGAACAAGAAAGTTATATGACTTGTGTCTAAAGACCCAGTGATAAAAGGGACATACATCTAATTAATACTTTTTAATTCAATAAAAGAATGGACTCGAAATAATAAAGTTATTGATTTCTTAGATATGAAGACAAACGCTACAACAAGCAAACTATATGACTTGTGTTTGAACACTCGAGGATAAAAGGGATATACATCCAATTAATCTTTTTTAACACAATTTTATTTATGAAAATATGAGACTCAAAACGATAAAGTTGTACAACTTGTTTCTTGAAAACTCGAAGAGAATGACATTGTTTAAAATTGAATTTGACAATATTTGATACAAAGGAAAAAACTGTGAATACATCATGACATATGTCCAATAATTAGATAATATATTGAGTTTCATAACGGAAATGAAAGCTAACAAAAAAAGTTAGTTAGTCCCTTGATAGAGAAAAAAAACAACAACAAAGGCATGTAATGTAATTAATTACAATGGGCAGCACACATTAATTCACACATAGTGTAACATTATATTCTATATAACATCTATTGATATATGAAACATCATAAATAGAAACAACACAACATAATATAGGAAACAAAATAAAGCTTTATAAAACATAAAAATAAAAAGATACAAAATGTAAAAGGATGGTTACCAACATGAAAACTTTGAAGATGGAAGATTTTGAGGCTATTTGCAAGACTAATCATTGACTTCTTCCTCTAACACTCGCAATAAAATAAACTATTTTTCTCTCTCAAAATTTCCAACATTTTCTTACTCTCAAGAAGCTCCTACTTTTTCTCACGAATGACATCTATTTATAATGAAATGCTACCGTTTTTGCTGGGAATGAAGATAAAACTTAACAGGATTTTGAGATAGTGATGGGAGATGAAAAATACATATTTGAAAAAGGTAAAAGTGATGTCAAACTTGTTTTTAAGTCATTTAACATGCATCATGCAAGGCAATAAATAAAGCACCAAAATGGCAAGACAAAAGAGGGTAATGAGAAAGTGAAAGAATATTAGCACCAAAGATGAAGATTATTTGGTTAATCATGAAAATTAACATTGGTAAATCCCAGATTTATCTTTGACCATGGTAAAATAAGTTTTGTCATTTTGCCTCTAACATTTGAATTTGAATTTTGAATTTTGGTATTTTGCTAGAAGACACTAAAATCCTAAATGCATGACTTTTTTTGGATTTCATTATGGGATTAGAAATAATGGTAAACATTGTGACAAGTGAAAAATGAAATATTACATTGAGATATTTTTGTCTTTTAAAGTAAACCAAATGAATTTAACAAATGATTAACAAAATGAAAATTATATTTAAATCGTCAAGACAAAATTAAGAAACTACAACCAATTCACAAAGGAAGCAGTGAAAGTTGGCCGAACATATGATAAATTAAAATATTGGATATTTAAGAAGGACTTAAGGTCAAAATGCATGTTTTGTTAAAAATGAATTAAAATAAGTCAGGAGTCACGAAATTTTACGTAACTAATCCCAGTTTGTTTTAAAAAGCTAAGAGCACATACAACTTCTTTATAAAATCGTGCATGCAACTTATCGTCAATAAGTTGAGGTTTGACATGGTCTTTTTAAAAATTTAATATGACTCGTTAATATGTTCAAGCTTTTCATTTGATCTATATCTAATAAAATTAATAGATCAATGTATTTAATATAACAACTATATACATAATGAACTACAAATTATGTAATTAAGAAAATTATGAATACTTGTATTATTTGAGATTTTTATTGAGCATATAAAAAATTAAAAGTCTCATAGTAATTTTTTTTAGTTGACTCTCTTTATTTTACTGAGATTACATTTATATCCTTTAATGGTTGTCTAAGCCCAAAATCATATAACCCACATATGATACTTGCAAGGGTTAGTATATAACCTAGTCACACACTCTTAATGAAGGGTTAAATTACATTTGAATGTGAAGTGATATGATAGTCATAAATGAAAAAAGAAGTCTTAAAAATATAAAACAATCATTTGAAATACCACATCGTTGATAAAGGCCACAAAGTTATTTAAAAACAATTTGATAACATGACAAATCAAAGTCAAAAACGAAAAGAAAATGGTAAGTTGAATTTTTAAGATTTACATCATTTAATTTAATTGATATAAATCATTAATACATACTTATAATATACTCCTATACTTATAATACGCTCCTATAATTTAAATGACAATTTATTATTTTACTCTTTAAAAAAAAAATGTGGTGTGAATAACAATTACGAGGAAGGAAAGCATATTCAATTTGTTCTACGTTAGTATTATTTCATAATCTCGTGCTCTTTATTCATAATTTTTATGAATAAAAAAATGAGATATAAGTAATCTTTATCAAACCCAATTGTGGGCACCAACGTTCTTGTGTAAACTTATAAGGTGCAACTTAGCTTAGTGATGCTACCTTCACTTTATAGGATATGATATTTTTCCGGTGATGTTTTATTCTTACATAATATGCTTATTTTCAAGTGAAGATGTGTACTTGCAAATACAATGTGATGTTAAAGTAAGGCGAAGTGTATGCAAATAGTGAGTAGGCGCATTGACCGAGGAATTATTTTGTTGGGAAAAATGTGAGTTATGTTGAAAGGAGATGAAAGAACTTCTGCTCGAGAGAGAGCATAGTGGATAGAATCACATTTGAGGGAAAATTGTTGGAAAAAATGTAAATTTTTTGGTGAGTCTTTGACCTTTAGGTGAGTGTTTGATCCAATGTGTATGTTTCTCCCTCATAATCACTCATCACATTTATGGGAGGATGAACTCTTTATTTACATAGTGGTTGAACTTGTGCTCCATTAGTTAGTATTTCAACTATAATGACAATGGTTGTTTGAGATCATTAATAGATAAATATGATTATATTATTACAACTTATTCTTAGATAGATTTCACTTGTGACATCTACCCGGTTTAAGTATGTTTGATGTAGCTTAAAATAGTGAAAACATGCCAATTTTTATAGATGTAACTCAAAATAGTGTAAACATGCCAGTTTTTATAGATGTTTGATTATGAAATGTGTTAGTTTTATGAGTCGACCTTGAAAGTAGTTTCTCACATTGTGTCATAAGGAGTTCACTTAAAATCTTATGTTTGGACCTCACAATAGGACAAATTTATTCTTTGAGAGGTAAGTTTTTATGGTGGACAAATTCATAATTAATCTGGGTTGAGCCTCTTAGATATCATTATATGTTATAACTAGTTTTTGGTCTTATATGGTATCATGGTGATATTTTATTAGATTTATTAGACTTTTTGGTCTCATAAGTAGGTAGTTGTGGCATAAAGGTTATTTGAGTTTGAGGAAGAGTTGGTAAAATAGTGTCGGATTTGTTAGACTAATTCTTTTACAAGACTTGATGTTAACTCTTGAACATTGATTCATTGTGCTTAGATTAAGTAAACTTCCAAGAAAGTTTATATATTATTGGCTTAAGTTGACCAGAGTAAAACATTAAATTTTATAATATTATTTAAAGAAAATTAAAACTTGTTTAGCTTAATGAAATGCGATGAAGTGGAGTTGTACGAGATAAAATGAAAGAAAAGTCTATGTTTAATTTTTTTGACAAAAAAAAATTCCATCATTTTCTACTAATTTTCTTCTATTTTAATTTAAGAGGATTAAGATTTTACTATGCTTCGTCATAATATATCCAAACCAAAAAAATAAATTATCACTCCACTCAATCTTATTATGATTCATTTCACTTTGCAAAAAGATTTTTACTCTACCCAATTCTATTATGACTTATTTCACTTCATAATAAGATATTATGATTCATTTCACTCCGTTAATTTTAAAATATCTGCACACAATTGTAATATTTTTTAAAAATTTTCACTATTTGTGTGAGATAGTTAAATAATAAAGCGTGGTGCAAATAATAGATATGAGGTTAGTGAAGGTTTTATGGACTGAACCAAGAAAACCCAACCGCAAACAACATCGGTTCTTAATACCTCTTCTCTAGCTAGCTACAATGGAGGAACTTGACAAACAAGACATAGAAACGGAACATGGTGGCTAGAGTCACAGATTTTGAACTATTTCTTCCTCCTCTTCCACTTTCACCTTCACTCACTACATTTTCCCTCAATTCTTCCTCAAACCCTAACTTCCATTCCAACTCACTCTTCTCCTTCTCTCCCTCTTCAATGCGTTCTACTTTCACACTATTTCGCAATATCACGCTCTCCACTTTCCACCAACCCCGCACGCTCCCTTCCCAACTCCTCCCTCGCCGCTTTCCGCGCCTCTGCGTTGGCGCCGAGCAGTGGGCACTCCATGAAGAACTTCCGGAACACGAAGTTTTCCGTTTTGCGGCGGAGACTGCTGAGAAGCGGCTGCCGCGTCCGGAGGTGGAGGTGAAAGAGTTGAGTGAATTTCCGGAGCTCTGGCGGAGGTCGAGAGTTGCTTGGCTGTGCAAGGAGCTGCCAGCGCATAAGGCGGGAACTCTGATTAGGATTTTGAATGCGCAGAGGAAGTGGATGAGGCAGGAAGATACCACATATGTCATTATGCATTGCTTGCGGATTCGCGAGAACGAAACTGCGTTTAGGGTCAGTCTCTTCCCCTTTTTAGTTTCATTTATTTGCATTTTGGTATCTGTTATGAAGTGTTTATGCTGATGGGAATTGATAAAAACAGTATTCTTCAATTCAGTTTGTTTGAGGGAGTTTAATATGAATGCTAGATATTCATGAAATTAGCATTTAGAGAAATTCCGAGCTGTGAACCCAAGTCTTCAACACTGGTAACAATTTGTAAAATCAAATAAATTGAACTTATCACACATATCCTGTTGGTGTCGGACATTGACATGTGTTAGACACATGACATACCATTGTCCAAGGTGTCAGTGTCAGATATTCTTGATGCTGCAAAGCTTAGGGAGGAAATATAGTTTCAGCTAAAAAAATTTAGTTACTAATATCGGTTGATTAGCAGGCCTGTATTTCCAGTGATTATAGGTCAAGGGACATAGAATTGAATGGTATAAAGCTTCCTTGTTGTTAGTCTTACATCCAGAGTTATTAATCCCATATAGCGGAGCGGTCGACCCCAAAAATGGGATAGCGGGATAACTTTTTGGACTAATTATATGAATAACCTACCTATATATTTAATGTAGATTAAATAACTTTTTGGACTAATTATATGAAAAACAACTTGAAAACAAATAGAAAAACAATGAATAAAGAAGATCAGGATAGAGAACAAAATAGAAAAGCAGAAAACAAAAGTAGAGAAGAAGAAGAATAGAGAAAAACTTGAAGCAGTTGAGGTGGAGGAGGAGTTAGGGCAAGAGAAACAGCTAGCGAAAAACGCGAGAAGCAGCGAACAGAAGAAACGCGATGGAGAAAGGTAAAAACGTGAATAAGAGAGGAGAAAACACGAATGACTAATAACTTTAACAATTTAAATTATTTTTAAGGGTTAAAAGATCTTTTCACACTCCAAAAAAAGCCCTAAAAGGAGAAAACTGCTCCTGCCCGAGAAGCGCTCCGCTCCCGCAACCTGCTATCCCAGCTTTCCCGGGCGCTATCCAAAACTGGGATGCACGTCGCTCCTCCGTAGCGGAGGGTTACCGCACCAGGATAGCGCCTGGAGCGGCCACTATTAATAACTCCGCGTACATCAATATTTATCATTTTTAGAAAGAAACCTTCAATTTTTTTTATCAAGTCAGTCCTTTGTGCCTCCGGGTTATTGGTTGTTTATTTGGCATTTCCTTCTACTGATTGGAGTTGATATCTGGCTGCAATTGTTTATTTGCTTGATTACTTACGTTGAACATCTTAGAAAATATCACTAAGCTGTAATTTGTTCTCAAATTTAATTATTTTTATCTTGACTAAAGGTATACAAATGGATGATGCAACGGAGTTGGTACCGATTTGATTTTGCTCTTTCTACCAGGCTAGCTGATTACATGGGTAAAGAGCGGAAATTTTCAAAGTGCCGTGAGGTATTTGATGATATTATCAATCAAGGCCGTGTTCCCAGCGAATCAACATTCCATATATTGGTTGTGGCTTACCTTAGTTCTTCTGTTCAAGGCTGCTTGGATGAAGCATGTGGTATTTTCCACCGAATGATTCAGTTAGGTGGATACCAGCCATGTCTTAGCTTGCATAATTCCCTCTTCAAAGCTCTTGTTGGCAAACCAGGGAACTTTTCAAAGCAGTACCTTAAGCAAGCTGAGTTTATATATCACCGTTTGGTTTCAACTGGACTTGATGTACATAAAGATATTTATGGTGGCCTAATTTGGCTGCATAGCTATCAGGATTCCATTGACAAAAAGAGAATAGAAGCATTGAGGGAAGAGATGCGACGTGCTGGAATTGGTGAGAGAGAAGAGGTAATAGTGTCAATCTTGAGGGTTTGTGCAAGGGAGGGGGAGGTGGAGGAAGCAGAGAAAACTTGGTCCAAGCTTTTGCAGTTTAAAAGCAAGCCCCCATCACAGGCTTTTGTGTACAAAATGGAAGTCTACTCTAAGGTTGGTATGCCTATGAAATCCTTGGAGGTATTTAGGGAAATGCAGTTGAAACTAGGTAAGACAAGTGTGGCAGCATATAATAAAATAATAGAAATACTGTGCAAAACACAAGAATCCGAATTTGCAGAATCAATCATGACAGAATTTGTCAATAGTGGTCTGAAGCCCCTTACACCATCATATGTTTATTTATTAAACATGTACTTCAACTTGGAATCACATGATAAATTGGAAGAGGCGTTCTCTCAATGCCTAGAGAAATGTCGTCCTAATAGTGCCATATACAGTATATATTTGGATTCATTGGTGAAAGTTGGTAAACTTGACAAGGCTGAGGATATCTTTTGCCAAATGTTTCGTGATGCAAGTATTGGTGTCAATGCCCGATCATGTAACATCATCTTACATGGATACCTATATTCGGGAAACAACTTAAAGGCGGAAAAGATCTATGACTTAATGTGCCAAAAGAAGTATGAAATTGATGCCCCATTAATTGAAAAGCTTGACTATATCCTGAGTTTGAGAAGGAGAATTATTAAAAAGCCAATGAGCCTGAAGCTAAACAAAGAACAGAGAGAGATGCTGATTGGGATGCTTTTAGGTGGCTTGCAGATTGATTCTGATGGTCGAAGGAAGAACCACATTATTGGCTTCAATTTTGATGGCAATTCTGTGAGCCATAATGTCTTGAAAAGTCATATACATCGCCAATTTTATGAATGGCTACATCCTACTTTTAAGCCAAGTGATGACAGTAAGAACATACCAGATAAGTTTTGCACCATTGCAAGCTCTCATTTTGGCTTTTATGCTGATCAGTTTTGGTCAGGAGGTCAACCTACGATTCCAAAACTTGTTCATAGGTGGTTGTCACCGTGTGTTCTTGCATATTGGTATATGTATGGGGGCCATAGAAACTCATCAGGGGATATTTTGCTGAAGATTAAGGGAAGTCATGAGGGTGTGGAGAACATTGTCAGAAAGTTTAAAGCCATGTCCATTGATTGTAAAGTCAAGGGAAAGGGAAAGGTATTCTGGATTGGTATTTTGGGAAGCAATACAGCATGGTTCTGGAAATTGGTTGAGCCATATATTCTAGAAGATGCAAGAGATTTCACTAAGTCAGGTGTGAATATGATGGGGCGGGATTTATTGGAAACTCAAGACATTAACTTCAATAAAGAATCAGAGGAATGAGAAAGGGTGATACGGCATTGATCATAATGGTTGGACTTTGGAAAAGCTTTTCTTAGCAGTTTGCCAGACTAGGTTAGTTTTTACCCTGGTGGCTAGAAGCTGAAAACATGTCTGACTTTTGTACTTCGTGTTTTTTTTTGGGGGGGCTGAAGTAACTGCCATGGTTGCAAAAATGAAAGCCTTGAATATTTTGATCACTATCCTTTGAAATATCTACATGTAAATGTTTTTGAGAAGACTACTTGTATATGTTTACATACTTATTTATGTCCATTTTTTAAATGGATGCTCTATTGATCATGCTTATCTATCTATTACTCTTTTAGAACTTTAAACCCTTCTGGGACACACTAAGTTCTGGTGCTTCAGTTTCCCGCATAACTCATGCCAATCTTCAGAAGTACACACTGTTTTAGATTGTGTTATATTTCTCTCTGTTATTCTCTGTCAGGTGAGTTCTGATGATCTTCTGAATCCTGCTCTCCTAGTTGTATTTACTTTAGTTAGTATTCGTGCCTTTGATTTATTCTTTCTAGTGGTCTTCATAATACTATTATGACGTCATTTCATCTATGTAGCCGACCCTACCTTGTGGGGTAAGTCTTGGTTGTTGTTGTTGTTGTTGTGGTCTTCATAATCTTTAAGTTTTATAAGGTATGAATTGTTGGCAGAGAATAATGTGGGTTGCAACTTTCTTACTACTATATCTGTCAGTTTACTTTGATGAGACGTTTTTTTTTCATGATTCTGTGTTTCAACAATTTCTCTTTTGTTAGAATTAAGGATGATTTATTAATTTGAGGAGAACGTGTAGATTCTCTTTCAGTAGCACTGCATTGAGAAGACCGTAGAGAGCGAAACATTCTTTTGTTGGTTTTTATTGATTCTTTTTGCAAACAAGTTGTGTTAGGCCTTATTTCCGATTCTCTTGTCATATGAAAATACTATATCTAAATGATGATATGTCAAATTCAGTTTTCATGAAGTTAATTTGGTTGGACATACCTATGATAGTCTATCACATAATTCTCATTCTTAATAATATTGTGTATAAATTGAATTACATGAGGGGGAAATTGGTACATAGAAGAAGAAAACATGGCCAACTTTGTTCTGCAGGTTCCAACTACTTTCAGGAATTGCATCCTCCAATTCCAACGGTACACTATTCTGTTATTTTATTTACCCCAATTAAACTCTATCATTTAGTTTTTGTCTACTTTCTCTTCCTTTTTATGCTTAAAGATTTTGCTTTAAAATTGATTTACTCTTCCTGGTGGTTTTGAAGGAGTTTTGGTAGCGATGGAGTAATGCTGGAGCTTCCTCTAGATTAGATAAGAAAGAATGTGATAAGGCCAACAGGAAATGATCCAAACCAAGTTCAAGAACTCAGATAATATTAGTGAAATTGATCTTCAAGTGCTTGCAAGTATTTTTTCCCCTTGTGCAAATTTATGAAACTCTGCTCTATTGGGTTCACAGATTGACTGCTTTATGGAAAAATGTTGGAAAAGAAAGTTTTTGCTTTTGTGTCTCATCATGTCATGAAGATCCAGTGGATCAAATTTGAACAGGACTGGACTATATCAGCTGATATAATGTATGTATTCTATGTTCTATAAGTTTTGTTTGCTCAATGTGAGAATTTTTTAGAGTACAGAAAACATGCAAAAGTTCAAAATTCGAAGTGATTTTTTATGGATTTGTTGCATCTATTTTCACCTGCAAGTTGGGATGGCTATATTTTTGTAACATGCTACCGAATTAGTGCCTATTATTAGGATCACATCACTTTTAGGGCGAGGAGATGATGCTTTAAGTATAGGTATGGAACAAAAGGCTTATATTTATCTATCTTCAAAGACAGTAATTGAGTTTGAACTCAGAATCTCCTTATTACTAACTTGTCTTTTTGCCACCAGACTAAATTTATTTGAGTTTCCTATCCTTATACTTTTTCTTTGATATTAAGAAATAGAGAGGATCTAAATTCCTTAATGTTAGTACAAAATCAAGACTAAATAGGCTGTAAATTGTTATCACAGGCCAAAATACACGTGGTTTATTACATCGCTATAATTTAAAATCTATTGGATATTAACAAGTGCTTAATATAGACAATTATGTGAGTTGACTTGTTGATGAAGATTAAATATTTGAGAGTGTGCTCATCACTAAGTTTTGAGTTCAGATTTCACTAGATGTTAGAGCATCTTTAATGGTTAATAGGAGTAAACTAAATGGGTAAACTAAGATATTTTTTGTAGGGATGACAAAATGGATGGATTGGATGGATATGGATTGTTAATGGATAAATTAAAACAATTCATTAGTCCATTAACAATCCACTAAAAATTTCTTAAAATTATCCAATCCAATCCATCTATTAAGAATAAAATCCATCCAATCCATCCATTAACATATTTTTAATGGATGGATATGCATACATCCAACTTTTTTTTTTATTTCGTAAAAATAAATATATTTTTTTATTTTTAAAAAATTGATTTTATTTTATTTTTGAAAAAATTATTTTTTATATTTTAAAAAAATTAATTTTTAATATATTTATTAAAAAAATTGAATTTTTTATATTTAACAAAAATTGATATTTTAATTTTTGAAAAATATCTATTTTTTTTTAAAAATAAGTCGGTTTTTTTCGAGAAAAAATTTTATTTTATTTTTTAAAAAACAAATCAGTTTTTTATTCTGAAAAAAAATCGATTTTTTTTTCGAGAAAAAATTTTATTTTATTTTCGAAAAATAAATCAATTTTTTATTCTAAAAAAAATCATTTTTTTTCCAAAAAAAAGTCAATTTTTTTTTTCGAGAAAAAAATTTATTTTATTTTCGAAAAACAAATCAGTTTTTTATTTTGAAAAAAAAAAAACGATTTTTTCGGAAAAAAAAGTTAATTTTTTTTCCAAAAAAAAAGTCGTTTTTTTTTGGAGAAAAATATTTATTTTATTTTCGAAAAACAAATCAGTTTTTTATTCTGAAAAAAAAAAACCGATTTTTTTTCCAAAAAAAAGTCGATTTTTTTTATTTTATTTTCGAAAAACAAATCAGTTTTTTATTCTGAAAAAAAAACTGATTTTTTTCGAAAAAAAAAATTAAACTTTTTTTTCCAGAAAAAAAAAATTCATTTTTTTCAAAAGAAATTATAGTTTTTTAATTATTTTTAAAAAAATCTATTTTTAAAAAAATAAATCTAACAAAAATAAAAATAATTCGTTGGATCCTTAAAATATGTTGGATAGATTGACTCCATCCATGCATATAAATTGAGGATTTAATCCAATCCATTAACTTATTTTTTGTGTGGTGGATGAATTTGATGAATTTTTTGATGGATGGATTTTGCCTTAATGGATTCAATTGTCACCTCTAATTTTTTGTGGGTCCAAAGTGATTTGTAGGATTTAAAATATTTATAGTTGATTTGAGTTGTTTTTACTTTAACGATGATTGCTTGTAAAAAACCAAAACTTGACCCCACATTTTATAGCTGTTAGAGCTTTATTGATATTTTAATAATATAAAACAATAATAAAATAATAATAAGAGTCATTGAGAATGGATAATATGCGTTGATTATATAGTTTTCTCTCACTAATTGTTAGTTCATTTACTGCCATGTCATTTTTATTCCAATACAAATTGCTTATAAATACTCTTATTATTAAAGAATTTAATACTATAGAACTTGTACTAAAGATGCTCTTAACAATTCAACACTCCGTGTTGCTTAAAAGTTGCATAAAAGGATAAGTTTGATTTTTTTTAAAATTAAAATAAAATTTTATAAAATTTTACTTTGTTCATAATAACAATTGAGACAGTTACATGATGGATACCATTTTTTGGAAAAGATGAACGTTGGCACTCAAATTTTCACTATTTCATTAAATAAAACACATGTGAATACCTATTATTTTATATGAAATCCATTTCTAAAATGAGAGAATCACATGTGTTTCTTTTAATAAAAAATAAAGTATTTGGAGAGAGCGATAAAAATATAATGCCGATAACCCTCCTATTAAAAAAAAAGAGAACAAACATGAGCATCTAAGAACTCAACTCATATTTATCAAAGTGGTCGACTGTAAAATCCTTCACATTAATTGTGATATGATAGAGAATAAATATTTTTCTATCCACCAAAATCACTTTCTTCGAGTCAACGCAAATAAAAAAATTAGAGATGTGCTGTCTAGTATACAGTTAATCCCAATCCGACTTGAACGGATTCTTGATGAACCCCCTCTGTATACTACTATGTACCACGCAACAATTGATGGATCAAAATGGCCTAATGACTAGTAGTAGTGGAAGTAGCATTTGGCATAGAAAAAGTTTAAGGGTGAAGCATCTTCTTTATCTTCTTTACATGATATTATTTGATTGGTTTCCAAGGAATTACTGAACGAATGGAAAATAATAAACTAAACCAATTACCAGTTGTATTCATTAGTGTTGCAACTTGCAACAAGAATTGATGTTCAATAACAGCTTACGCATACAAGTGTAACTCAGAAATAAAGTATCTGCCTGCGGTCGGTATGTACTTTATGGTTTATGCTAAGCATCATTAATTTATGTTTTTTTTTTCTTTTTTAATTTTTAATTTGTGAATCTTGTAAAGGCAATGGAAGTAAGTTAAATGGCATAATATATTTTAAGATTGAATTGTCTTATTTATAGCGGAATGTTTATTCTGATTGCTTTCGCACGTTGAAAAATTCAAAATTGTCTTTAATATATTTAGAGATGTATTTTCGAACGTACATAAAACATATAAATTTGTGTCTTTTTGATATCCATTATATTTTGAATAAAATATAATTTAAAGATGCATATTCGTAAGTTATTTAGATGTTTGGAAAATACATATTCAAAATATTATTTGTACTCAATGATGGTGTTTTTATTCGCTAAATTTGATAATTTCTGAGGTTAATATATTTTAGGTCATTTTAGGCCTGCATATTTTAGGACATTTTAGGCCATAAATTAGAAGTAAAACACATACATTAATTGATTCAAACATAGTATACAATTATGAAAAAAAATCATATAATTATCAAAATGTACCGACCATATATAAATTATTTTAAAAATGCAAAATAATACAACCAAACAAAAACCTATTGAGTATGTCTAAACACCCCCCGACACCTTCTTCTCCCCTGCCTATATTGCAAGGCATTTTGTGCCTCGACAATCATTCTTCTACGAGGGTCAACTAGGGTCTTCCTTTCTTAAAAAGTCTTGCCTCTATGTCTTATCTCCCCATCTTCACAATACATTGACACACCACCGACACGTTCTCGACGTGGTCATCCCTAACCTCAAGTACCTCTTGATTAGCTGACCTAGGTGGTGTTCTAGGAACGTCTGATATCATGATAGGGTGTGACACCCTATAGAAACATGTCACATAGATGTCTGCATAAGCCTAGTGTACAAGAGTTGGTACCCTGTGATACTCCTATAGTAACAAGTGACTCTCAAAATCATCAAGCATCGCATCAAGATCTTTGTGGCGAACGGTGGGAGGAGCGGACTTTGAGGGGGGTCTCGGAATAATCTGCAAATTACTAAACTGGAGCATCACTCGCTAGAGCAAATAAGGGTGCATCAAAGCTGACCCATATGCCATCCATCCGAAGCATAAGAAAATGATGTCCAACTGACCCATATGCTTTCAAGAATAGTTATCATCATATAATTACCTTCATGAAGCTTACAAATGTATGCACAACAATTATAATCACTTATATAGAAACTGTATTTTAACATAAATGAGTCTAATCACTTTTACAACTAGATAAGATATTGTTATAATCCATAAAGTGATTTCTTCAAGCGTAATACCTGACTTTGTTTACCTTAACCTTATAACCATCTGGTTAATACATATAAATTTCCTCATTCAAATAATCATGTAAGAAGGTTGCCTTCACATCAACTCAAGATAATATGTGCAACAAGACTTAATAGACCCAAATAGAAGTATTTTTACTATTGGAGAAAATATATCATTATAATAAACACATTTTTTGTAAAAATCCCTTGGCCACTAGTCTAACCTTATACCTTATACTATCAAACTTTTTAGGATTATTTTTTTTCTTTTGTACACCCATTTACAAACCAACCGTCTTTCCTAAGGGGAATGGGATTGCCTGCCATTTCTTTTTCTTATGAATATATTGCATCTCTTACTCTATAATAATAACCAAATATCTTTGTATTTGTCTTTGATAGCTTTCTCGAAGGTGACTGACATATCATATTCAACTGATAATGTATATTCTACTATATTACTTACCCAAACTTCTGAACTCGTTTATATAGACACACATATATACACCATTTTCATACCTTATATTTTCAAATTTCTACCTATTCTATTTTTAACCATTGCGTTCCAAAACTTGAAAATATCAAATATCTCATTCTTATGCTTAAAAAAATTGAATCCATGCATACCTAGAACGATCGTCAACAATGTAACAAAGTAATTAGAACCACTCTTAAAATTCATTTTATTTGAACCATAAAATCAATATGCATATAGTCTAAGAACCCCCTGCTTTTATGCTTACTTGTAGAAAATTTAAAGCGACATGTTTTGCCATACATACTATTCACAAAATCCATGCATGATTTCTTCAACAAACATTTCCACTAAGAAATGATAGACCCTTTTCTAACATATGTTCAATGTGCATGTGTCATATCCTAGTAAGTTATATTTGAGCCTTAATTATGTTGATTGTAACTTTCAAATATCACGTGACAATTTCTCCTACAAGAAGACAAAGGTTCATGTGACTCATTCCCTTTATCAGAACCAACAAACCACATATAACTTTTAAAATTTAGTTTTCCATATCTATTTTGTAAACTTTTTTCTCTATAACACCAAGAAAAATAAGGTTTTTTCTATAAATTTGGAACATGTCTCATTATTAGAATTCTCATTGTTTCACATGCTTCTTGGTTTTTATTGTATCACACCCCACAATTTTTCATGCATGGTTATTTCCTATTAAAACATATCCAACATATGTACTTTGGTAGGTAGTAAATCACTTTATATTTATGCATATATAGTGTGAGGCGAATGAATCAAGCATCCATTTACCAGAAGTATCATGGTCTTTCTCTGAGCCAAAGAAACAATCATCTTCATCATTTGAGATATAACTTGCCTCTGGCAAATCTTGTTGTTTTACTTTGGAGTTGTTATCGTTGTTAGACTATTCATTAAATAACTCTTATTTAGACAATTTGCTTTAAGGTTCCCAAGCTAATTACATTTAAAGCATGTTCTTTCTGCAGGTGCTCTAGATTTAGATTTAGACTTATTTCTCATTCCTTGTCCTCTTTCATTATTCATCTCTCTAGTAGCAAGCAATCATTGAGTTTGTTACCTATGTTCTCTTCCATTGCCAAACATCCCACATGTAGTATCATTTAAAATATCATTTGCTAAAAGTGACATTCTATTATCATTCATGGTTAGAGTATCACCCACAAACATCAACATCTGAACTAATTTTCGTAGGACTCTATTAATGAAAGAAATAACTTGAGCGTTTGTTCTTATTTATCAATCTTATCTTCTATATCCTTCAAGTATGATATAATCCTATCAAACTTGTTGGCGAAGACCTGGTGGTTTGGAACATCGCTTCACAATGTATGGTGTCTTCGATGGTGGAGACTACCTGGTAATTTTGGAATATCTCTCCACAACTCGCCACTCTAATGAAGTTTGATTATGGAACGACAACTTGATTTCTTTGGGAGGCAATTTCTTGCACCGACTTTTTCTTCGGGTTAACATGTTGTAGTATCTCTTTAATTATGAATAACTTTTCTATTTGGACCTGTGAATTCTTCTGTTGCACCATGTATTAAAAATTATTCAGCAAATCATTTCCTTCATGCACGTTGAGGTTAACCTATAACCACTGAAATCTAAGATGTATTTCTTGTCCAAGTATCACATGTAGTGGAGGTATGTGTGAAGGTTTGTCCTGGTGAAATCGTTACGCGGATTCAAGGAGCATAAGAGGTTGAAATACTTTTTGATATGCCCTAAATTGAAAATGATTTTGTTGTGAAGGGACAACCAAAGATGTTACCAAGACATGATCATCTACTTATTGGCGGTGGATCTTTAGAAACTTCATAAATAAAGACATAACAAGTGGCTTTGAACGACGTAACAAGTGCTTTTATACGCCACCATAATTGATGGATCTGACTAAGAGGAAGTTGAGAATCGAAAAAGGTGACAATGAAATGGAGATATGTACTTCGAATGAAGGAGATTTAAACTTGAAAATGAGTTGAAATTAGAGTTTCCTTCTCACGAATGAAACCAATGTTCCGTTGTAGAACCATAATTGATTAGTAAATGAGGAGAAAAGCTTGTTGCCACGATGAATAAGGGGTGACTTGCAAGGTTAGTCCTTTAACATCCAAGTTAGTAAAAGAGTGAAAAGTTACGTGCGAATGAGAATAAATTTGAATACGTGTTAAATGAAGTGATTTCCTTCTTAAATATGAGAAATAATTGTTAACTGAAAGCGTGGAGTGAAACATGTATCACTATCCGTCGTTAGACTAATCTAGAAGACCAACAAAGTTTTCTTGAATGAAATTGTCTATGTTCAAAAAGGAAATTATATGTCTTTGTCTCTCCATTTTCTCTATTACTATAATTTTGTTGTATATAAAATCAACTAAATATTAATTATATGTCACATGTTTTAGAAATGTGTGTTATTTACACACAAAACTATAGTAATTAAAAAAATGAAGAGAAAAAGAAATGGAGAGGATCTTATCCCGTATTATACTACTATGACTTACACTTTACCATTTGCAAACCACCATGACCAATTTATAAATCATTAAATCATTTTTATTGCAAAAAATTGAAAGTAAATTTAAATTGTTTACATTTTTATTTTTATCGCAATCAATCACATAATACTATTCAAATGTTAACAGATTAATTGTTTATTAATTAGTATAACTTTTGTTGTTTTACTTTTGTAAGAGGTATACAAAAAATAATAGGCAGCGCACACGGATAAATACACACATTAAAACAAATTCCACCGATTTCTATCATTACCCTCATTTCTGTTTTCCCATACCTTCCTTCTCTTCTCCACACTCAATTTCTACTAATACTTATCATCATCCTACTCTAATTATTATCATATCATCAATCCTTCTTGCACATCACACTTTATCAACAACTAAATTCTTTCATTCTCATTCCCCAATATGCTCTTTCTCTCCATACAACCCCATTAAAAACAATCAACAACAATTCTGTTCCCACACAAACACACAAACTGGATTCTATGTTGGATGCAGTTCTTCTGGCGCTATTCTTGCCGTGTCTCGGCATGACCGCCATCTTCCTAGTCTACATATGTCTTCTCTGGTACGCTACTACTCACTCCACTACCGGAATCATTATCAAACCGGTCACCAACACCGGTCTTTCCCCTTCTGAACTCCAAAAGCTACCTACTATCACCGGTAAACATCTCGTCGCTGGTCCCGAATGCGCCGTTTGTCTCGACGACATAAGCGAGGAACAATCAGCACGTGTGATTCCAGGTTGCAACCATGCTTTCCATTTGGAATGCGCTGACACGTGGCTTTCGAAACATCCTCTGTGTCCTGTTTGTAGAGCTAAACTTGATCCTAAACTCTTTGTCGATTCTTCTCAAAATCCATGTTAATGATCAATTCAATTATTACTATATTGTTTTGTTTCTCATATTGATTTCAATGGATCTTCATGGACTCTTCTCAAGATCAACATGCCTTTTTTGTTATTTATTTATTTTAATTTCATGTTTCGAGTTTTAAATATAATAATTTGTTGTGTGAAATATAGCTAGCTTTCCAGAAATTTTCCAAAGAATATATTTTTGCCCACGGTTTTTTATTTTTATTGAATGAATGAGAGAGTGTGTGAAAACGTGATGTGGCATAAAAGGAAACTTGCTTGATAGCTAGGTAACGTTACAGTACTCGGATACAGAAGGACCACGCATCATACATTACACCAACACCAACTCACTTGATTCCTCTGCAAAAACATCAAATCACGCTGTACATATTCATATCCGTCACATCACATTTATTTCTTTTTAAAATAATGCATTTCATTAACTAAATAACTTGACAATAGATTATGTAAAATATTTCTTTATAAAATAATTTGTAGTAGATAAGTCTTTGCAAAAGATAAAGAGATTAATTATAATACATCGTAAAGATACAATATTTTACATTATTAATTTATATTTTCATCCGCTTATATTATATATATATATAGTAAACACACTAACCAAAAGAGTTTAATTATAAGGTAAGCTAATTTAGTTTAGGAAAGTTCATCAAATTAAATATTTTGGTGTAAGACTGTTCATCAAACAATCTCAATCATACATGCCTTGTTTGATAACTGATCATGTTCCAGTGGCCTATAGGATGCACTCATCATATGGTCTATTTTTGGATTAACTATTTGAGGGTGATCCCATTCGTTAAGATATTGACTTGCCCTAATTCAGAACTAACTTTTTCATAAATCATTATTTGAGGAAATCAGATGATTACCTAAACTCGAATCACGTCTTCATGTTGTTAAATAGATGGAACTACTTTCCTCGTCCCCTAAGTGGTGTGACTAGAGTTTTGTTAAGCATGATATTAGATATAATACAAATTGAGACATGTGATACAAACTCAAATTTAATTAATGTTTAAGGTATGTTATTTAATTTGTTATTTTATTTAGTAGATAAGTTAGTTGTATATAAATATATAGTTTGTTTGTAATTCAGTTTTATTATAATTTTATTTAATAATATCAATTTTTATTTTTTTTTATTTTTTCAGTAAAAGTGTCTCACGTACTAATAAATCGGTATCTAGAACTCCAATTAAATTATTGATCGTATTTACAAGAATCACACGTCAGAGATCGTGTTTCTAGGATCGTGAGTTGTTGTTGATCAATCGCTGCAAAGATGATTGGTAACGAAAATTTATCAAACTCCCTTCCAACTCTTGACAGCAAGAATTGACTTTGATGGAGAAAACAAATGCAATCTCTATTTGACTTTCATGAAACCCTAGAAGTGGTTACTAGCGACGTTCCTACGCTTGGTGAAGATGCGACCGACGTGTAGAAAACCGCTCACAAGAATGCCAAGAAGAAGGATTGTAAGACGGTGTTTTACATCTAATCGGCGGTTAATGCGGCTAATTTCGAAAGAATCACTCATGCTGAATCGGGGAAGGAGGCATGAGATATTCTTGTCAAGTACTATGAAGGAGGCGAGAAAGTCAAGATTGTCGAGTTGCAAACTTTGCGATGACAATATGATTGTTGTCGATGGGAGAAGACGAAAAGATTGCAGGCTATGTGTCGAAAGTGTAGATACTCGTCCATCTCATGAAGGGTTATTGTGAACCCTTAACTGATAAGATGATAGTTGAGAAGGTAATGTGTACGTTGACCTCTCACTTTGATCACGTTATCATAGCTATTCAAGAATCTAACAATCTTGAAACCCTAAAACTAAAAGATTTGGTTGGTTCATTGGAGGTGCATGGGATTAGGATTGTCGAAAGGAAATGAGTTCAAGACTCGATACAAGCACTACATGCCCAGTCGTGGAAGAAGAATGGTGGTTCCAACAAGTTCAAAGGCAAAATCGACAAGACTCAAGGCAAGAAGTCTTGGTCGAATCCTCACAAGAATAAGATCAACGATAGAACTTCTGAATCCTCAAAAAGAGGAGAAGGAAATTCCTATCAGAAAGAAAAAGTAGAGAAAAAAGGTGTGCAATATTATAACTGTGAAAAATAGGGTCATTTGGCCAAGCATTGTTGGTACAGGAAAGACAAGGGATCGACAAAAGGTAAGGACGAATGAGCGAACCTTGCACGTCAAGATTCAGATCATTATGATGATATGGTGGTTATGGCTGCAGTTGCATATGACCATGTCAAATCCAAGATCTGGTTCCTCGACTCAGACTGCTCGAACACATGACAAATTGAAAAGTATGATTAGTAGATTTCGAAGAGTCGAAGAAGAGCTAGGTCAAACTTATTGATAATAACTTGTTGCAAGCATAAGGTACTGGCAACATAGTTATTCAAAGGTGGAGCCCTAGAACTTTTTGACATCCAGAATGACTTGTTCTTGAAATCTCCTCTGTCAAAGAATAGAACATTTAAGACCATGATCGATTCAACTGAGATATAATGTCTGACAACAGTTGTCGACCATAAGAATAGTTGGTTGTGGCATCTGAGATTTGGTCATCTAAACTTTAATTCGCTCAATCAACTAATCACTCAAGATATGACAACTGGTATACCAAGTCTTGAGATGCCTAACAAACTTTGTGAAGGTTGTCTAGTCGGAAAGCAGTCCAAGAAGTCTTTCATTTCGACTATGCCAATGAGATCATCCTGCATACTCGAAGTTGTACATTCAGATGTATGTGGTCCTTTTGAAGAGTATACCATTGGTGGAAACAGGTATTTTGCCTCATTTGTCGATGAGTACAGTCGAAAGCTCCGGATCTATATGATCAAACAAAAGGACAAAGCATTTGAAATATTTAAGAGATTCAAGATACTTTTCAAAAACTAGGGTGAAAAGAATATCAAAGTTCTACGATTAGATGGAGGTGGCGAATACACATCCAAGATATTTGAAGCATTCTGTGCAGAACATGGTATTGATCATGAGATAATTGCTCCTTCTACTCCTCAACATAATGGAATAGAGGAAAAAAGAAATATGACCATATTGGACATGGAGAGATGCATGCTGAAGCAAAAGAATTAGCCAAAATCTTTATGGAGTGAAGTTGTTTCGATTGTTATTTATATTCTGAACATGTGCCTTACCAAGAAGCCGAAGAATAAGGTTTTTGAAGAAGTTTGAAGTGACAAACATTCATCAGTGAGTCATCTGAAGGTGTTTGTTTCTATTTACTACAAGCATATTCTTGATGCTAGGAGAAGAAAACTTGATGATAAGAGTGAACCTATGATTCTGGTAGGATATCATAAGACTGAAGCATATAGGTTGTTTAATCTAATTAATAAGAAGATTGTGATGAGTCGAGATATTGTGATTGATGAAAATGCTGCATGGGATTGGAATTATAGTAATGTAGTTGACAAGCCATTGATGAGCTATGATTTTAAGGAAGCAATTAATGATGTTGAAGTCAAAGATATTGTTGATATTCCAGTTGAAGTCAAAGCAGTTGCTGACTTTTCTGAAATAGTCGAAAAGGATATGGTTGGCACAAGCCAGAGACCTCAAAGAACTAAAGCTCTTCCGACAAGACTTCAAGACTATGAAGTGGTTTGTGATGATGAAGTCACAACAGATAGAGAACTAGTTCATTTTGCTTTACTTACAGGTTCTGAACCAATCAGTTATAGTGAAGCCTTCAAAGATAAACAATAAAAGTCTGCTATAGTCGAGGAGTTACAAGCAATTGAAAGAAATAACACATGGGAGCTGGTCGAATTTCTAGCTCATGCAAAAGCTATCAAAGTGAAGTGGGTGTTTAAGTTGAAGCATAATACTGATGGGTCGATTGCAAGACATAAGGCGATATTGGAAGCTCGAGCATTTCTTTAGAGAGCAGGAGTCGACTACTCTAAAGTATTTGCACTTGTCGCAAAATTGGAAATTGTTCGACTAGTTATAGCTTTGGCATGCAAGCAAGGCTAGTCGACATTTAACTTAGATGTGAAATTGGAACTTTTGAATGGACCTTTAGATTAAAAGGTGTATGTCATACAACTTCTTGGGTTTGTGATTCAAGAGGAAGAGAGGAAAGTATACAAGTTGCACAAAGCGCTCTATGGCCTTAAGTAGGAACCTAGGACATGGAACAAGAAGATCGACTCATACTTGGTCGAATTGGGATTCATCAAATGCAAATTTGAGTATGGTGTCTATGTTCAGGTAGTGGCACAAGATATAACAATCATATGTTTATATGTCGGTGACTTGTTAGTAATTAGAAGTAGCTTGGAGAACTTGTCGAAGTTCAAAGAGCTAATGAAAAAGGAATTTGAAATGTCGGATCTGGGAAAGTTGTCGTACTTCCTGGGCATAAAATTTCAAATGTCGAAGTAAGGTATGGTTTTATATCAAAGAAAGTATTTCAAAGAGATACTTACGAGATTCATAATGGATGATTCGACTCTTGCATCTTCACCTATCGAACCAAATTTGAAGTTGGAGAAGCATTGAGATGAAGACAAAGTCGATGCGACTTTGTTCAAACAAATTATCGGATCTCTGAGATATGTGTGTAATAATCAACCTGGTATATGTTTCTCAATCGGATTAGTGAGCAGATACATGAGTTAACCAAGGGTGTCACACGTGAAGGCTGCAAGAAAAATCTTGAGATACTTAAAAGGATCGACAAACTATGGAATTTTATTATGACAAGAATCTGGAAGAAAAGAAGTTATGGTTAATTGTTATTAAGATGCTTATTAGTGTGGAGATAAGGAAGATTTAAGAAGCACAACTGGATATTTCTTTCAAGTATTTAGTGCCTCAATCTCATGGTACTCGAGAAAGCAACTTGTGGTGGCATTGTCATCGTGTGAGGATGAATATATATCAGGATCCTATGTTGCATGTCAAGAAATTTGGATCATATTTTTGCTTGAA